TGAACATGGGAACGACCAGTGATTCGCCCCAAGCTAAAGGAATGCGCTCTTGCATCCAAATGTTGCGCAATAGGGTAGTAATAGAGCTTACGAGATTATCGTTTCCCATCTTGAAAGGAGTGGGAGGGAATTCATCTAGTCCTGCTGCCTTTCCTCGCTTCAGAGCTTGAATGCAAGACGGAACTTCTGCTTCTGCTGGAGGATCGCATGGCACTACCCACGGAGCTTCAGTTGTAGATGAATCAGCCTGGTTAGCACTAGGCCAGCTGAACTGTTCGCTGAAGTATTCTGCCCAGCGATCAAGTCGTTCATTCCTATTGTGAATAGCTCGTCCCCTCTTATCGCAGACTGTTTCGCTAACTGGAGTTCGCCGACCTCCCGTATTGCGTATAAGTCATAACAATCTTTGACTATTCTCTGATGCAGTCACTACTTCAATTTCACTAGCTATTGCTGCCGATTAGTTCTCACGGTTCTTCTTAAGGCCCTTCGTAAGCCGACGTTGTAGATGCCACCTAACTTTGTTTTGATCCTGGCAGGTCGCGATTTGTCGTTTTTCTCCATCAGTGCTACAGACTCATCAGATATCCAATGCCTCCGACGGGTTTGGGGCTCAGACCCACAAGTAACATTCGCTGCGGAATGCATTACTCACCTAATCCGATGCCACTGCTCATCTACGTCATCACGTTGAGGCGCGCTTAGCTCACGCACTAGCTCTAACTCATGGAGTGCACGAACTGATAGTCGATAATGAGCTATTGCTGGCCTTGTCGCCAACCAGTCAACCGAAGAGTGAACTGCGACAAAAGTAATGCCTGGTCAGACTCAACGAACGTGATCCAATAGGACCTGCAATTTTGCACTGAGCCACGCCAACGGTAACTTACTGATATATGGTCAATTTGTGTTAACGTACCATTTGAACTGGAGCACGACGTTGCCGTCCGTCGAGAGCTAGCTTGATAGGAACAGATGATGGTCTGCGCAGAACTGAAGTGGATCGCCGTTATCCGTTCGTTGGCTGGGCAGAGCACGACTACCACCTAGGCAAGCTTTTGATGCGCCCAGTTTTCCAACCTACGAGTTGAAATCACCTGCAAGTACAACTGTGTCGGAGCTTTGACTCATCCGAATGAGATCGGTGAGTTCATCGTAGAAGGCGTCCTTTTGGGTATTAGAACTGCAATTGGTCGGTGCATAGGCTAACACGATGAACAAACACCTTTTGGTGTTGCTTCCCTTCCGGACGCTGATTTAACAATGCAGACGCACTGCACATAAAAAACTGTTGACGGGGATTCAATCGATAAGAGAGGATTCCGCCCTGTTGCTGAGTACAATACCTACTCTGCGCTGACCCACTAAGCGGGCTTCGTCGTTGCCTGATGTGCGAAGAACATATCTTGAAGGCGAATCTGGCGTGCTCAGGTGGCTTAGAGTAGTAGGATCCTGGATACGAGTCACCGACACGTAGCAAATATCGATCTCCCAAGGATTGTAGGCGCCAGACAAGATTGTTCTCCTACCTGCATCAGGGTCCTCACGTTGAAGGCCCACAGATTCAGTGATTGACGAGGCCTCAGAATCTGCAACTCGTTCCGAGATATACAACTTACCGTGATATTTGGTAACAACCTTTGGCGAGCGACATCCAAGTTGCTTGAGGGACTATTACAGGTCGGAAGAAGGGGTAAAGAGAGAGGGTTGGGTACGGAAGACAAGGAGTTAAACAAAGGTTGAGATATCTGAGCAGTGGCCCACTTATCAGTATCCACCTCGCTCGAGCCAATGGGCAGCGCGGTCCTGATTATCCTGCGCGACGACCGATGCAGTATAAAATTATTTTTGGTTTGTGTGTTCGTTGTAGCTTTATGGACGGGTACTGCCAGTGTCCAGCCACTAAGCAGAAGAACGATTAGGGTTCTCGTCCGAAGTCTTTGGTTCTAACAAGAACCTAACCGCAAGGCAGCGGGTGAAGCGAAACAGTGACCCATTTACTTGCATTGATTATTCCACCACCATTTATAACCGACTGAAACACAAATTCCAGTTGAACGTCAAACCTGAAGGACCAGGAGACTGAACCTCGTCTGACCTCTACCCATTGACCTTCCAGTCATGATAAGATCGCCTAGCTTGATAAAAGCCATCCTGTGTAGCTCGTTGAGTAACAGAGGTTCACAATCGACCACACCCCATCAAGGTGCAGTCTCGTCCCGATGGCGTGGTGTGATGACTTACGTGCCTCCATGACCGTACGAGTTATCAAAACGCACCAGCCATCAACAGACTGAACCGAAACCCAAAGACCTTACGTGACAGGTCTCTAGAAGCTCACACATGGGTGCTTCGGTCATGCTTCTGCGTTGGATCTACGCCCCACTATCCCGAGGGTCAGATTCAAAGTCGAAATCTTCCGTCAGCGTTCTCAAAGAAAAACCCCTGTCGGTGTGGGCTCCCAAAACCTTCGGTACCCATTAGGAAAAACCCTTTTTTTCATCTGTCCAGTTCTTCCTCTCAATCCCTAATCTTAGGAGTTGCCTCTTTTTGGAACCACCCATGAGATATCACTCAGTGTTCAACCAGTAAAGGAAGTTTGAAAACTTGAATCAATTTTTGTCGTGCGCACAGTTCAGGCCTCGTGAATCCGATGCTAATCACCTCTGCGGTCGCTAACGTATGAAACCGTACTGCTCTCGAGGGTTGTGGTGCGACTCGATAAATTGATCGTGAATGCCGAGGGTATACAAGCCAAGTGTCCCATAACTATCAAATGAACCATGTATGAGCCAGCATCGATTGTGCCTTTCCATGCATTGGGATAACTGCCACTAGCGCACTTGAATTGTTAGACAACCTTAGATGAGGTCAATATGAGCAGTGCACCTTTGTTGTGGCATCGCGGGTGTGTGGTGGCGCGGAGAACATACATCTTAGCTGAACGGTATTAAAATTT